AATTGAGTTCCTCGGGGGCTTCGTGGCCGTCGCTGCGCCTGGGCCGCCGGCGCGCAGTTGGAGCTGCACACAGGTGGCTTCACCTTAAATCCGGATTAGCTGTTTTCTTCCCTGGGAGATTAATAAAGCCAAACAAACAACCCCCCCTGTGCTTCCCGCACCTTGAGAGCTGGGAAGCTCCCTGGTGCCTGTTCCAAGCTGTGTTACTCCCCAGCTCCTTTTAGCTGTCCTGCTGGTTTTTCATTCCGGGATCTCAGCTTCCTGCGGCTGGATGTGATTTTGGTGGTGGGCAGATAGAAAAGAAAAACAAAAAAAACACCACCACCAACAAAAACCCAACCCAAAACATGCAGAGATGTAGGTACACATTGCAAAAGGAAATAAAAAGAAAAGCCTGAGATATTTCACGGTGACTGAAACCTTGCAGGCCACTTACTCCTTAGTTGAGGAGCAGCCTTCAAACGACCCGGAGGGAAATGCTTTCCCCTGCTATCTTCAATGAAAGCTGCCTTTTTTTCCTTTTTCCCTCTCTAGGTAGGGCCTCACAACCATGCCCCCCAACATCAGTGGGACTAATGACACCGCTAAGGTTGCAAGGTTGCCTGCATGGATGCCTCTGCTCAGGGAGCTATCATGGAAGACATACCTTAGCCTCTGTCTGGAAGTGTCATCAGTTTTGACCGATCACTTTTCGCCATCCACCTGCTCCCTCCATTCCTTTGGACTATTTGCAGAAACGGGATCTGGTGACCCAATCTGCTGAGCAATCCTCACTGCTGTGAGCCTCACCTGAAGCTCTGGGAACCAATCCCCATGAAACAATCAGAATTTAACTAAGGGACCAGCACTGGGGCAGTAATTGCAAAGGAGGGGGGTTTGCTCTTACTGCCAAACATAAATAGCCAACCATACTTTTCTTGCAGCAGATACTCCAGGAACATTGGGTGCTTTTGTATTACTAGCTGCTGTGCTGCAGCCTTTCCCAGCACGTGTACAGCATGTATCAATGATTTTGAACATATACAGTGTAATCAAACATCAACCTAAATGTTTCTATGGTTAGCAGCTTCTGAGGTGCGAGGTACGTCACACAACCTTACCCAAGATGTACAGAGAAAGGATGAAATCTGAAAAGCAGCTTTCACAAAGCCACCCAAACCATACCTCTCTGGCCTTAGGTTTTCAAGCTCAGTTCTACAGAAGAGTTTTCTTCCTTCTGGGCGAAAATGCAGCACGTTCAGGGCATTTGCCCTGAACATATTTATACTAGTGACTTTGTTCTGTGTTGCAAGACTTGTGAGTGCTTTACTGATACAAATATTTCTGATAATGCTTGCAAACCAGAGAAGCCTGTTGAGGGTAAGTGTGCAGCTTGATGGCAGATGAGATTCGCTGTTGACACTGAAAATCATGCACAGCGACACAATTAACATTAAAATCACTGTTCATTCTTAAGCTTTCAATATAAAAGTGTCCTGACTGAAGTTTGGAAAGCTCCCAAAGCACACAGAGAAAGCATTATGCAACAGCAGCCCCTAATTTCCCAGGGAAGAGGTGCTCCCTCCATAGAGGAAGTCAGCACCTGTCAGTAAATCCGTGAGCCCTGGATGCTGCAGCAGCAGCTTCCTCTGTCCACTCCACACAGTTCTTCCAGACACACAGATCCTGAAAACTTGTCCCATGGGACTGGGATCCCCGAGTGGAAAGTTCAGGAGTGCAGTCTTTCCCTAGACAAGTGTAGGGCCTAGCACAGACTAGCACTGAGCCACTGCTGCTGGGATCCAAAGATCCAAACTCAGGTCTGTTGACTTCTGTACAGAGCCCTCATCCATTGAAATTGAATTTGAAAGTTTTCACAGAATCAGATAAAAATTAAAGCTGGTGTGTGAGCAGTCAAGGTAATCTGAAAAATGAGAATTGCATTTGAAAAGTTATTTCAAATTAACATTTAATATTACTAGAAGAATTACATTCAAATATAGTATTGAATACACTTAACCATTACTTAATGCTCTGTTATTTCAAGCTCTGCTGTTCTTTGGCAGTTACCTTGGTTGCACCTACTATATTTTTTTTTTCCTTCAGGACAATTAAATCCTTTTGAATATTTAACTATGTCTCCCTCTGTGTATCATGCACTGTTGCTATGCTATCTCAAAGCTGAAGTATCCAAAAGAGAAAGCCAAGCGTGGTTATTCTGCAAACAAGCACAGAATTACACAGCAAAGCAAAAGCATTTTCTCTCCTGTTCTTGATACTGAATTCTAGGCAGAAGTTTTCCAGTTTCATCTATGGCTAAGTTATTCTGCTTTGCCAGTACCAGTGTTAAAGCAGTACAATCCTCCTTCATATGGATTTAACAGCAGTAGCAGAAGAAGTGAAATGACTACAGTTAGTCCCATATAGAAAAGGAATAAAGTTCTGCTGCTGGAGATACCTTTAGGACTACGCAACTGTGCCCCTCCACCACCCAAGTAGGACTTTTTTAGTTGGAGCCTTTTCCTCCTTATTCACACCATATTTATCATGACACAAGATCTGCTTGTATATTAAATTTTAAAGAACATTTTCTTACTAAGAATTAGATTCTGCTTCAGTGAAAGAATTCTGCAAGACACAAATATCTGAGGCCATTGAAAGCAGGCATCTGCAGAACCACAGGGCACTCCTGTTCAAAGGCAGGAGTTAGACGCAAGTAGTATTTTTGTAGAAGGTAAGATCATCTTAGAAACCCTCAATCTAACTAAGTCACTGGTTCACCATCTCCAGTTAGTGAGGAAACTATGTGAAGACACAGGTTTATAGCTTATGGGAGAATGCAAAACAAAATGTTTTGATGGCAAAAAGTTTTCTTAGATTTTAATAGCCCATTTGACAGCATCTCATCAGGATTTTAAAAGTATTTTTGTAGAAGGTAAGATCATCTTAGAAACCCTCAATCTAACTAAGTTACTGGTGAGGAAACTATGTGAAGACACAGGTTTATAGCTTATGGGAGAATGCAAAACAAAATGTTTTGATGGCAAAAAGTTTTCTTAGATTTTAATAGCCCATTTGACAGCATCTCATCAGGATTTTAAAAGAAATACCCAAGTATGGAATGCAACCACCAGAAAACTGGAAGTAAAACTACCAAATCATCCTGTTAGCAATATTCTCTTTAAAAATTATTAAAGATATGTAAATAACGAACACAAACATTTAAAAAATATCCTGCTCCAATTTTCAAGTAATACTTAAAAGGATAACTTTTCTCTTATGTTCATTCCAATTGCATTAGAGATCATTAATAATTCATATTAATACAAATAATTCACATTCTCAATACTACACAATATTACTCCTCAGTCTATCACTTTCCTTAACTGTAAAAATGCACATAAGCTATTTAAGTTTAGCATAAACCTATTATAATATTATCTTCATAGAGCATTACAGCATTAACATAGTAAAGCATATTGTTCAATGTTTTGTTATTTTATTTTATAATCCGAAGTTGAAAACTTCATATATCTGTAGGTAAAAAACATTGCAGAGTAGCCTTCCATGTTTGTTGTGTGGGTTTTGAAAAAATAAATCCCTGACCTCACAATCTAGTGACATTAAACCAGACATTTTTTATGTCCTCTTTTAATTAGCAAAAAGAAGACTTGTGAAGTCCAATACCCAGCACATTTTCCTCAGTTGTGATGTTCCATTTAACGCAAGTAGCAGGTACCAGTCTGCAGCTACTTCTCACAAAACCAATTTCTCTGCAGGCAAAGGTGTTCAAAAAATAAAGAGCTTTTCACCATTAACATATAATAAACTTCCCCTCTCAGACAAATCAGCATTGCAAATTCAGTCAGATAATCCACTAAATATGAAAATTCAGTGGCGTCTACCTCCTCATTTAAAAAAAAAAAAAAAAAAAAGTTCTGCTAAGCCTTTTGTTGTATGTGTTGTTAGGACGGTGCTTATCCACTGGCCATCAGAAATGTCCTTCAGAGATGCAGCTGGGCTGTTTGGTGGCAGAATTAATCCCTCTCTCTCAGGTCCCGGACGGTGGTAGCACTGCAGTTCCAAAATAAGTTGCACCTTGAACATTACTGTAGTCATGGCCCTGAGATGATCTCCCTACCTCTTTTAACACTTAGGAACAGCCAAATACATTCTTTTGTACAAAAAGTGTTTTTTTTTTTTTAAAAAAAAAGAATTTTCCATTTTAATTAGTCTGCTAGTATACAGCAATCTGCATTTTTACAGTATTATCTTGATTTAGTTGCATTTCAGAAGTTGCAAAGTGACCTTTAGTCACTGAAAGAACAGAGTTTTATACTTTAAAAAAACTGAATTAGAATATTTTTAGTCAATTAATGAAAATGAAAAGCCCTCAAGTAATGTAAACTACAAAATGTTACTGCATTGGTTTGTCTTTTACGCATGTGTTTGTCTTTTATTTAGGAATCAGTAATCCTGAAGAATGCTATTATAGTACAGAGTTGAAATTACAAACATGGTAAGTCTGCAGTTATTCGCATAATGCTAAGACTTATAAAATACATCTGTTTGAAATTTAGGTGATTTGTTTACAAGTTGGTAAGTTTTCAGACAAGTTAAAGAAAGGAGAAGTGGGCTTTAACCTCAGGAAATGGCGTATACGCAAACTGATTGTACACTGACATGCAATATTACCTTTTTCTTAAATTTACTTTCAGAACACAGTTCCAAAAGCCGTTTAAAATACTTACTGGAGAAGTTACCGGACCAATGGTACAGTTGCTACTTTCACCAGGTCAAAAATATTCTTCCTTTATTTACAAAATCTCTTTAATCCTTCACATTGAAAACAAGTAAAAGAATACAGTAACTATGATAATTTACCACTAAACCGTGCTTCTTTTTCCCCCCACAGGAACTGAAGAATCCTGCTTTTTAACACCAACTCAGAAGCCTGGATTATTGAAGAGCACTCCGTAACAGCAGGAAGAAAACCCAAAACGTAGTTGCAAAACTGGGGAAAAAAAAGAGAAGAACTGTGGTAAAGTTTTCCCTTTTTGTTGCTGTTTATTCACCACTAGCCTCGTGTCCGACGTTCAGCTTAACTTTCCATGTTTTCAAGGAAGTCACATTCAACACTCTCTTCAAGCTGTTGCAAGATCTTTACGCCATTACTGCCAACATAGTCCACAGAGAGAGATGCAGGAGTATGTGAGTTCTGGGATTCGCTCCTGTTTGCTGTAAACGCGCAACACAGAGTCTTGAAGAAAGGCATGAGCTGGGTGATACTAGATATAGAGCGGAAGTTCAAAAGAGGACATCTGTGCTGCTTGGATATTCCGTCAGCGTTGTTTGGTTCCTGTAAGCAAAGGTTTTGCATTAAGACACAATGTTGTTATGGCTCGTCTGAACCCTGTACTAACACGCTTCTTTCATACAAAGAGATCCACAGTCTGAATCACAATACAACTGTGTCACGATACAAACTGTATAGATGCTATACTGGAGTTATTTCTATGTTCAGATTGGAGTTTCCAGTAAATGAAAGTCTCACAAATTCAGAACACATCAAATTTGGACTAGTCTTCAGAATCAGATATCAAACAACAATTTAATACAGAGATATCTCTGAGAAATACTAATGCCCCTGTTTCCTTTTCTGGAAGAATTAATATTAAATTTAATGGCAATTTAAAATGCTATTATGGTAAACTTTTTTTTGACAAAGTACAGCATGCTCTTTTTTATAAATACCAGTCCTGTCTGAGATAAATTGTTTTAACTGAGTGGTTGTGGGCAGATTTAAGGGAACAATAGGAAAACTGCCTACTGTTCCCCCGCTCAAAAGCAATCTGACATCTTCGAGTTATATATATATGAAAGCAGGCAGATCATTTTTAAAAGTCTCATGAATCTTATTAAAATATCTAAAAACCTCTTGCCTAGCTGAAAATCTTGTCACTTGTTTAGAAAAGTAAGTTAATGGATTTAAAAAAAAAGAAAAAAAGATTCAAGTGAAGCATTCTTTCTTTACCCCATATTTCATCTTCAGCAGATCCATGATTCTTGTAATGTGTGGTCTGCATTCCTGATGATTTTCTACCAGATGAGAGGTCACAGTAGTTGACTCTGTGTCCACCTCTGGGACAAATGCCCATTTGTACCTGAAACAAATGGATTACTTGACAAGATGACAGGCAGAAAAAAACATTGTTTGGATCACATATAGTATAGTAGAGCACTGGTTTACAGAAAGCATTGTCATGATGATAATTTTATGCTATTACCAGAGCCAAACTAAATGAGAAAGGACGTTATTATCATGTCAGTATTTTCATGCAACTGGCTCCAAAAAATTTCCAAGTATCAACATCTGTACTTGTAAAATGAACTAATGCAAAATTAAGTCTGTAAGAAAATATATCTGTAATTACTTTATAGGATAAGAATGGTAACAGTGTGGAGAACAGCTAAGTAATTAGAGAACTTACATTTGAAACAAGTGCATCCTGTCAGGTGGAAATGAAAGTGCTGTGTCCAAAAACTTACAAGCGGATAAGTACAAGGTCAGCTCATTCTGCTGTATGTCAGATCCACTGCCATCACCCGAGACTTTCTGTTTGCTTATTTTGCTGTTGCTCCTGTGTTAGTTACAATGAAGAAATGTACCATTAAACCATAAATCCACTAGATGTTTTTCCTTCAGCAAAAGAGAAACGTACACATTTACACAAATGAGCACTTGCATATGTGTTCAACAAAAACTATTTTTATTCTGTATAAGCACTATGATTAATATGAAAGGCTGTTAGAAGAAAAAGGGAAGTGCTCAGAAAAAATGTCAACATGTTAAAATACTCAAATGCTGACGTAGCATCTCTTCTGTTTTTGTATGCAACTAACAAGTGGTACTTATGTTTTTTGAACATATATTTATGTTAACGGCTGGAAAAAAGTCTTAAATTATGGAAACTACACTAGTATCAGAAATATGCATGTGCAATAACAAAAAATCATGTTGTCTCCCCTCTATCCCAGGTAATTAATTAATTAAATAAATATTTGCAGATACGGAACAAGCACAATCGTTATCAGCTTTCACAAGTTCTCTATTGGACAAATGGGAGCTCTTACTTTGATGGTTCATCTTCCTCAGTTAAATCTTCTTCCAGCTGTAGAAAAGTCTGAATCTTTAAATAAATAAATAAATTATGAGGATGCTGAAACATTCATACTTCTCAATTACAAAAAAAGATATGCTTTACATAGTATAAGGAACTACAGACTCTCAGTTTACTCTTATGACTTGGAACAAATTAACAAATCATGCAAGAGATTACGTTAGTAACAACAATAAAATTAATCAAAAAGGTATTTCCCAATGACAATGTTAATTCTTTCCCCAAACTATCAGACTAATGTAAAGCTATGAAAACATTTCTTTTTTCAAACATCAGGTGTATTTGGGAGGAAGAAGAAGGTGAAATGGGAAAAGACACACACTAATTAGTTTCAAATTACTACTTATTCCTTACCAATTCAGTTACCATAATTGGCCACAACGAGGTTAGATGCTGAGGAGAAATCCTTAGCAAAAGAACTCTGAAGAAGAGAAACATCTGTGCAGCAACTATAGAAGTTTGCCCAACACGGAGGTTCTCAGTCAATCGTTCTGAAATATATTTGGCAAAACAAAATTTGTGCTTTATCATCAGTTTTGGGTTGAGTCGTTTGCACTCTATTAACAAAATTGTGATTCGGAAAAGTCTGAAGACGTGGTGGTTTTATACTGGACAAAATTTTGTCAAAACTGACATTTAGGGAGAACGACAACAGCCCCAGAGTGGCTGGAAGATTACCACAAAATAATCATGTTTCGAGTTATATTTCCACACCAAAGGCTTTGGAACTCAGATTCCTGTCTCCCTCTTGATGAGGTTATTTATTTGTTAGAATTCAGAGATTCACAGCGTCACAAATTTTGTTAAAAACTTTAAAAAAATGGAAGTACATGTTGCAAAATTGGTAACATTCCTTTCTTACACAATTTATGTATGTGTTACAGCCCAAAAAAAAAAAAAGGCAGGTGACATCACAAATCTTACCTTGTATTAAGGGAAGATAGAGATGATACTGGTCAGTCTCTCCACTAAAGACGGCGAAAGCTTGCCTCTTTAACAACATCGCTTTTTGCTCAAAACTTGGGTACAGTTTTAAGGCGCTGCTCTGCATATCTGTAACAGAGATAAGAATTATCTACCATATAAAGACTTCTTGTGTTTTGGGCTGAAAATAGTGCCCCTGTCCTGAAATCTTTTAAAAAGAAACACTCTCTTTGGGTCTACTGACTGGTGAATTAGTCTTGCATTGTAAGCCTTTAAGACTATTCTTTTAGAAGATTTGAAAACGAGACTAAAGGAGCATAGACTTTTCATTTTGTAGCTCTTAGGCAAATCCAAGGGGTCCTATCCCACCCTCTCCCACAGGACTTATTCTTCTACACTCTCCTCAAGCCTGAATTACAGGTCAAAGCACATTGCTCAAAAGTCTACTGTACTAGTAGAGCGCGTTCCTAGAGCTCGATGCCAGTACACAGACACCTGCAAAGTTTGACAGTCTCCTTCCTTTCTAACAGGGAACAGCTGCAAAAGGTCACACTCCAGCAACTTAAGGTTATGGCAAAATGTGAATGGGGAAGTTCAACATTAGCACTTCTAGAACAAAAATATATATGGTGTGTTTTAGAAATGACTAAAGTAGAGAACTAACACAGAATCACAGAATCACCATGGTTGGAAGGGACCTCTGAGATCATCGAGTCCAACCTTAAAAACCAAACCAAAACAAAACAACCCCCCAAACAACAACAACAAAACCCCCACAAAACACAACACCCCACCATATCACACCCACCCACAAACCAATAATCTTGGGCACTAGAGCATGCCCTGAAGAGCCACGTCTAAGAGCCACAGCTTTTAGCTGTGAATAAAGTTGGCAATATAGTCAATTATGCAGCTGCAGCATTGCCTGCATTTTATTGATACATTGGTATATTAAAAATGCACCCAATAGCTCAAATGTAAATAGATTTCAAATTAATCTAGAAGTGAGAAATCAGTAGCTGATACTTACTCATCAAATCTTTAAACATAGTTTTCTCGTGTGTTAGAAGATGATCAATAATGGATCTCCAACTGAATAAGATATAGGAGGAGTTAGATAACCAGAGAAAGCTTTGGTATAAATTCACCTCAGAAAAGGTTTTGGTCAAACATTTCATACAAGGAAACAGTTTCCAAACAATATTCAATATGCAGACTCTTGACTGTTTAACACATACTGCATTCTAGGTCCTCCAGCTCTAGTTCCCTATTCACTAAGTTGAGTATCAGCATAAGACAAGTTAGTTTGTATGCACTATAATGAAATCTTAAGTGCTTATAATGTGTCTAGTAGAATTAGTGGTTGAGACCCATTTTTAACATTACTACATTCTGTAAGAAAGTAATAAACAAGAATTTTATTTCCAATATTAGCCATTCTCCTTTACAGCCTTTCTTTGCAAATTCAGAATAGTATTTCAGGAGTGCTACAATTTAATGTCTTACTGAGTGCATGAAGTATCCATCTGGAAAAAAGCTGGATCCATGTACAACTCAAGAACCTCTTTTTTCCAGGCTCGCTTGGTATAGGCGTATCCACTCAATGAGCTCAGCAACTGAGCACCAGCACGAAAACTAGGAATGTTGTAGGCACTGAGGGAAGAGAGCAATAATGATAAATATATGTACTTTTAAAAGTTAAGTTTATATAAACAGAAAATAAACTCTGGGGTTCCCCAGAACTTCTAACCAAATTCTCTCAATAATAGGCTACGCCTACATTAGCTCATAACTCAGAGCAGTAGATCAGTAGACCAAAGCAGTTTGTGCAGAAGCTCCTCATATTTCCAGTGTATCTGGTTTGGGGATTATCACAGCACAGCACTGTCTGTCTCCAGTACAGGTGTGGTTCAAAACTTCCCCAAAAAAATCAAGTTTCCAATAAGCT